CTTTTAGTTTCATTTGGTCTATGACAATTTAATGCATTGGAAATGTGGTTGTTTGCCAAGCAGACCAGTGTGCCTGGTTCTGCTGTCCTGGTCTGTGTTTCTTTTGGATATCTGAGCGATGCTGGGCATGCCTGTATGACCTGGTGAGTGGCTGTGTTGTCCCACTGCCTCTATGAATACATTCAAATTGAGATAGAATACTTGAAAATCCACCCTTTAAGAATTTCAAGTGGAAAACCTTGTTGACCAAAAATATCTATATTTTATATATGTCTATATCTATATCTGTTATTATTGATCAAAAAGATCTATAAATCCCTTCATTGTACCAGAGTGAGGTCACCTTCCCTGTCCCTCTCCCTGCTTAACCTTATAGCTCTGCATTTAGAGAATTCACAGGGTATGTAGAAATCAGCCCCCTCCCCCCCAGCTCTTCTTTTTGGTTAGAAGGACCTCCGGTGTTCATTAAAAACCATGGTACATTTGTGTGTGCTGTTCTCACCCTTCTTTGGAAGCTCAGCTCTTTCACATAAAAACCCCTCTTCCAGACTGGCTAGGTCAGAGATGATATATCACATCGCAGCCCAGAGATGCAGATGCCCACCAAAAAGGGGACTGAAGCTTTTCCCATCAACTTCATTCCACTAAAGAGTCACAGGACAAAGCAGAGCTGTTTGTGCCAGGATACAGCAGGATAGGTAATACATGTCCCTCTTCGTGTTAGTATTGATGACTTTAAGGTCCTTCCTAGTTAAGAGGTATACTATGGTATTTCTTAATTGTTTTAAGAATATCTCATACTTTAAGGGGATTGTGCTGATATGCTTCCTCTTATTTATATAATTTTGTAGAAGTGCAGAGAGTTAGTGTTAGAATATAGCTCGTTCTATCTGTAGACCTTACAAGACCTACTGCCTACAATTTATCTACCCATCTTCTTTTCTTATCAAAAAGCCAAAACTGAGTCTGTTCTTCCCTTTAATAACCTTCCGGGAACACAGTGATAACTGCTACTTTTTAACAGAAGTCTTTTGCAGACCTGTATAGAACAGGAAAACATTTATCAAAAAGTGGTGATACCTGAGCATATTGATAGAAAGAAAACAGAGAGGAACAAAGCAAAACAGTCATGAGCTAATATCTGTACCTCTTTTATTCTGTATAATTATAATATTTATCGTGGCTAGGTTTCGCAAATGAAGATTTGGGAAGGGCTCTACCTATGTTTGTTACAAATGTGCTGGTGGCTAAAAAGGCCAATACAAGATAGGTACGTCTGGTTGCAAAAGGCACAGCAGAAACCATACTTCGGAAATGTAAAGATATTCTTTGGCCCATCTTCTGTTAACAATTTCAGCCTGTCTAGATATATACAGGGATTTTTTTTTAATATGGTGCCTATTGTTTCTTTTTCACAATTATCCTCTAATACCAGGAAATCAGAAGCCCCAGACACAGAGTAGGTAAACATGAAACCCACCACTAATCCAAGGGATTCCGATTTGAAAAAGAAATTGTGTTATTTCACAGTAAGGGAAAGGGACACAAGCTCCTTTGTCTGCAGCCTGTGACAGAGCTTTCCCAACTGGGTAGCTGGGCTGCTCAGCCTTCACCTGCTTCCCTGGCCCTGACACACACAGGAAGGAGGAGAGAGAAACCCCAAAGAGATGCAACTTCTCACGTTGCAAGTTAGGGGCTCCTCTACAAGCTTGTCATATGGCAAAAGTGGATGCAGGAACCAGTTATTGCTCAGGGTGAGTGTACACCTTCTATTTCCCACCCACAAAACCTTGTGCCAGTAGTTGCCAGCAAGAAACCAAGCAGAAGCAAGACCTGCAGATAACACTAAACCAGCTCTCAAATCGTAAGGGTTACAAAAAATTTCCATGAGAGGGGGAGTTATTATTGCATTTCTTCTCTTATTGCACAATACTGTTTTTTCAGCCACTAGGTTAGTCAGTGACAGATCTCTACTTAGATAGTCAGTGACAAAAGGTCAGTTGGGGTCACATCACCTTTTCCCATGGAAAATGCTGACTGTTTGCCATTGGTATTTTGACAAATTTAGACCTGTGTGGCTTTTCCAAAAAAAACCCAAAACATTTTATCTAGTCCAGTTTTTCAAGCATGTAATAAGTGTGGCTCTACAGTTTCGTCTTTGAAGCTCAAGTTGGTTGCAGAAAAAGGAAAAAGTAAAATAAACTATATTTTGCTTGTCTGACTTTAGTGACTGTAAAAATGTAAGTCACCAAAAAAAAGCAGAAATGGTTTTGAAAGCTTTTGTAAGTACACTGTAAGAAAATTCTAGGTTCATTGCAGAAGAACTAACCATTTTCTGCTCAAAATTATGCATTTGATAATTGTGCAAAGCATATTTCCAAATAAATTCAAAAACCCTATTGTAATTTTTAAAAGCAGAAAAAAACCAAACAAACACAAACAAAAGAAAAGGAAAGTAGAAGGTACAAAACTGGCTTTAGTAAGTTCTGTTACTTGTTTTAACAAAAATTGATTTCCTCCTATTCTTCTTTTCACTGAAAATCAGACATCAAAAGCAAACCAAACAGTAGAGATGTTCAATCTATCGATCTAAATTGGCCCAGTACTGGTAAAATTGCATGAGGAAGAAATATACAGTATGTTAGTTCTGCTGTTGAGAAAATACAGTTCAAGTAGTCTGTACTACCATGTGACACACAGCGATATAATTAGGAAACAAGATGTAGCATCTGATGGAGTCATGCCTTTGAAGAACATGACAACTTTTGAATAAATAAGAAGGAAGATGTGAAAGTTATTGTGTAGCCTCCTTCTCACTTTTTTGGAGGAGAAAAAAAGTGCTTTGTTTTAAATGTATACAATTCCTTTTATTTTTTTCAGATGGGACATTTTTCAAATAATTTTTTTAAATAAATTTTTTAAATAAATATTTGAGATATTTGGGTGTTTTATTTTTTTTATTTCTATTTTTTTATATACAATGTAAATAAGGTTGTATACATGCACATTTCTGTTTGTAAAACATAATAGTCTGTACTAAAAACTTACATGACTTTAACATTCATGTTAAAGTTCAGAAATGCTACTTAAACAGAACAATCCAACATTACTCTTTTTTTTTTTTTTTACACAATAAGATTTCAGGAAAATGTACTAAAACATTTTGAATTCAGACAGACAAGTATTTGCTCAATTGAAAGTAGTTCAATTAAGGCATCTAGCCGGCTCTGCAGACAACCATATATTATGCATGGTTTGAAGAGTAAGTAACTAAGCAATATATTCTGGGCTTTACTTCCTTATTTATTCATATAATCTTTACTGGAGTAGGTTCTTGTCTGTTGTAATTCACTGTATCTGGTTCTTATGCAATAATGGCAACTTATAAGAACTGAGTTGAGATAGATTCTGCTTATCAAATTTTATGTAGCTTGAATTAGCTTAAAATTCAATGCATTCTTACATTGCTACTGAAACTTTGCACACTTACCTTTCAGAAAAATTTTCAGAATTGCGGGGTGTACAAAAAAAACTCCAAAATTTGCATACATGTGTTTTAGAGAGGACAAGGCAAAATTGTTCTTGTAATTATGGGAAATCCCCTGTTAACATGTTAATCTTCTTAGTGAACAGTCAAATATGAGGCAATGTCAAGAAAATATCGGGTAATACGACTAAACTATCCTCCCAATTAAGTTTTCCAGTTATTGGCCAGAAAATTTCTTTATTTTTCCTTGTACAGGAAACTGGAGCACCTAGAAACAGACTTTGAAACTTAATCATCCATATTGCTATTTCCTATTCTCAAAAAGATCTGAAATTTAAGTTTTTAAAGCACTGAATTAAAAACAGTTTACTAATCACTGTATTTTTCTGATATGTGAAATTTCCAAGTTGCACTATAAATTAGTGTGCTTGCATAGTGAAAGTATGCAATTGTCAAAGGTTAGTCAACTGATAGTCATTTAATAAATAACTGATATGCAGTTTTGGGAGCTAATTCATCACATAATCACAGTATATCTACAATACTTCATGCAGATCATACATACTTTTAACACTGAAATTTTTTTACAAAATTTGCTTTCAAATAGCATGTCACATAAGTGATATGAGAAAAATCAGAATAGATAAGATTTTTTTCTTTCTGAGCTCTAATTCCTTAGTATATCATATATTAAATTTAAGATTAAACATACTCTAAAATATGGTATGTTTAGAAAATTTTAGGACACTGTTCTAAAATTGTTTTTCAAAACTTTTTGTTAAAAAACAAAACAAAACAAAACAAAACAAAACAAAGCAAACATTTTCTAAAGAAAACCAAGAATCCACCATACGCAATATGAGTAAATCCTAATTTGATTCTACAGCTGCTGCTTGCACCAAACCCCAGTTTGAAATAAATGCTACTCGTTTAAACATAAATACTGTTAAAAATGAACCTCAGCTCTAAAATAAAGACTATAAGATGCTGACTGTACAAAGACTGTAAGATACAGAGTACCCGACCCTTAGATGAGGCACTTGAAGTCCTGTCCTGTTCTATGGGATGTTACTTGCAGCACTACTTGCAGGATAAAATATGATTCAATCCTGTACATCCTCGCTCTTCTGTTCTTAGACATGAGCCTTATTGCTTCCTCATAAAACCTTGAAGGCATGCTATGCAGTGCAAAGTTACACACTGGGAGAAGCAGTTTACAAGAGCAAGAACCTCTAGTCTAAGGAAGGCTTGCAAAGCAGTACCCTATCACTGTGAAAAAGCACAGTATATGGTCTGGTCTTTGTGAGACAGCGAAATCTCTTCATTTTCCCTCTTCATTTGGGAAGAACAACAGTCTAGTTTGCACTGCTCTACATTCCATAAACATGAGGACTAAGTCTCAGCTCTACTGACATATTATGGAGGACCTCTTGTCCTCTCCTGTCGATAGAGGAAAATAAGGCTCAGTTTATTCTCAGAGATTAATACCAATTAGAAAAACAATCCTAGCTCTATAAATTATCAGGAGTTTGCTTCAAACACTGAGTCTGCCCAAGTTATCAGAATTGTTGGGAAAGTCCAGATCCAAGAGATAACACAGCCCAGTGCCTTTGTTGAAGTGAATCTTATCATAATGATCTTTTCTATTCAGTCACTCCCCTAAACTCAACAGGATCTTTTATGTAATTTCCTAACACCTTCTGCATTGTGCAGATTTTATAAAGTCACATACATGTCATCATTCATTAAAATATGAAAGCCAGCAAAAGAAGCTATAGTGTTGGATGCTGGTATCAGGCAGGTAATCTGAGCTGCTTTGAGGTCACTATTTTCAGCCATTCCTGAAAAAGTGAAGATTTTTTCCTAAGGCCCCTGTTTGCCACTGTTCTTTTCATCTTCTTGTTGGCTTTCTGCCTCAGTGATGCACTCTGGCTCTTCATATTCTAGCTTGGTTTGAAGCACCACATGATCAGTTTTGTCTAGCCATTCCTAGGAAAATTAAAATATTGGTGTTGGCAGAGATGAGATATCAATCAAAAGAAACCTGGTTGTAAGACACTGATTTTCCTTTCATAATGGTATCTTTCCAGGATAAGCCACAATGGAGAAGATGAAGAGGAAGCAAACAGACAAGCAGGACATCAGACAGTAGGATGGAAGAAAGACAGAATGGAAATAAAACAGACAGAACTGCATACAAATTCCACTTAATCTCGAGACCACGTTAAATAGATATTTGTATTTAGTCAGGGCCTTTTGAAAATCTGAATGTGTGAAATATCTGGTGCTACCTCCTTGACAGACTTATGCATTCTTCGACCCAAGCCCTGACTTAATCTAAATTAAGACTGAGTTTACATGGAGATTTAGGCAACATAGCATATCTGTATTAAAGTTTCAGTATTAATTTGAATTTGTACCTTTCCTCTTCAGTTTTAGTTTAAAGCTACCATATACAAAAAGTTTTCATCTTGTTATGGAAAAATCATTACTGCTCTTTGATATTGTCATTGGGTTTGTCAATGTAAATATTTGACCTGTTTCCCCTCAGAGGAAACATAGTACTAATTAAGATAAACACTAAAACAGCTAATACAGAAAACTACACCACATAGGTGATGTCAGGGACTCATGAGAAACATTAAGAAAGCAAAAACAAAAACTGTAATCTATTCATCTGTTAGCCATTCTGTGTCTAATAGTTTGGTGACTATGCATCTCTATGGCTAAGAAAGGATGCTTCCTACTGTGACTGATGCCTCCAAAAGCATGAAGTGCCATCACTGGCTCAGCACTCACTGGCTCAGCCATCACTCTGTCAGCACTTCACAAACATAAAGGGTAAGACCAGGCTGAAGCAAACTCCCTGACGTATCATGTGCAGGAATGGATGCAAACACCACAATGTCATCACCATGGATATTGTGCCTCTGGACACCTGTAAATTCTTCTCCAGCAGATTCTGTCTTTTATAACAAGTGTCTTTTCACAGTGCCAAATCAGCACTACATTGATTATACGAGTCCTGGTATTTGCTCTGTGAATCTTCTTAGTGATACTGCTCGAGGGGAAGGACTTTAGGGCTTTTGTCTTGGGTCAGAGTGCTTGTGCCTGTGACAGGGCAAAAATCAGTAGCTACTTTTAAATTATTCTCAACACTGTAGAGTTTACAGCCCTGCTAATGTGATGCTTACCTGGAAGTTTCCATTATGATCATTTAAGAGATCAGCAAATATGTATTTTGGATCTGGTATAGCAGGCATGACTGACATCTGAAGCCTGCAAAAAGTAAAGAAAAATACAAATTGATGTTTCATTATAACATAGCCATTCATACAAAAATTCACTTCAGTGCAGTTCTGTACCCACAAATATATTTTACATGAGAATACTCTAGTCTTGATTTCTTTTAAATGTGTTCTAAAGTAACAAAAGTAGTTATAATAGTATGATAACACCGTGAGGCTAAAGGTACTTTTTCTAATAAATTTTTGACCCAACCCCACTCTAGTAAAATCTGGACTTAATACAATCTTCCAGCTAGTCAGCAAGTGTCATTCTGCTCTATGCACTAGTCAGAGCTTTGCATTTTCTGGCCATGTCTCCCTAGACAGGGAAGATGGTACAGCAACCAGCTGTATTAGCTGGCTTAGAGAACACAAATGTAAATTTGAAACACAGAAGCATAGGAGAAAAGATGCAACCTATGATCTAAAAAGGTGATCGGAGTCCCAAATACTTTCATCTCTGAAAATACTGCATATTTAGCCTTTTTATCCCCCTAAAAAAAGCCAAAATCTGAGACCTTAACAAGTTTCATTTGTTGTTTGGTAGTTGGTTTTTTTTTTTTTTTTTAATTGCAAATTCTAAACATGAACAGCATCATTCAGTTGCAAATCCAAATATTGATATTGTCTCATTAAAGTTGAATGCACTCAAGTTTACTTTATCCTTCTACAAACAGACATTGAGTTTGATGAAGATTGACAAAAGAATGTCCTTTCAGAAGAAGTAACTAAAACGATTGACTTCTCAGGATTTAACTATATTTCTAAATAAAAAGAGAATAATTTAAGTGGAAGAAACAGAATTATAACCTGAAACATAGTCTTTTACCAGAATTATTTTGGTTTTGAAAATTAAAGGCCTTGGTGTTTGGAAGGCCAGAATGCATTATTCCTCAAAGAGTAATTAAGCTACTGACTTTTACATCTCCACAATGACTTCATTTATCCAACAGGAATTTTGATTGCTAAGACTTGATCGTGAATGATAGCTGTATTTTTGCGACATGTTAGTTAGTAGCAACCAACAAAACCATATTTACCTCTGCCGCTTACACAGAAGAATCAGGAGGATAATCATCATCAGAAGTACTGCCAGCAAGCAACTTAAAACTATTACTGTGTTTGACTGAGATGTTCTATCATCATCACATGAATCTAAGAATAATTACAAAAACAGTATGTCAAAAAATTATTTTTTGCTTTAACAATAAATGTTCCTAATCATGCTAGAATGTTAATTTTTCTTTTAAAAAGAAGAAAAAAAACACAGAAAAGTTTTTAAGAACAAATAAAAGAAGTTTACTTGTTCAATTGATACTGAAAAGAAAACCTATACTCATCCAAACCTTTCAACAAAAGAAAACCGTGCTTTTATTTATCTGGATTGACCTGGACAGGACAAAGGAGTGGGCTTATAGGAAGGGTAGATGCATTATGAATGAATCAAGTATTTCTTCTCATCTTCATCATACTGCATTGACAGCGATAAAGCAGCTTTGTGCTAAGATCTGTATTGCATACATCTACTTATGATCACTAAAGCTGCAAATGCTATTTTACATGAAGCCTGAATGTCTTATCTCCCAACAGAAACCAAACAAACAAATCCAGCAAACAAAGCACCAGTAAATCACAAGAGCTAATACCCAGAAAGTAACTAGTGGCAGGACAACATCTAATATGCAGGAACCAAAAAAAAAAAAAAATGCATTTGTGCATTTTTTGCATGCCAAGTATTCTACTTGAAGCTTTTGTAATGCAACCTCAAAACTCTGCCTCCGACTATTAACCTTCTGGTCTCCACATAAATACTCTTAAAAACTAAGTGATTATTCATATAGAAGCAACTGCTTAGCCTATTCCATCTGCCTGCCCTGTTCAGCTTGCCAGGAAGCCACAAGTCAGGTTGTGACCCCTAAGTAAGGTTTTCAGAGTTTATGAAATTTCTTGAACCCATCTTTGTCCGTGGCTTGCTCTGATGTTAGATTCAGAGTCAATAATAACTTGCCCCAGTGAAGGGGCTATGTCAATGCCACTTCTGATCCAGGGGCACCCAGAGTCTCTGACCATTAGTCTGTCTCCTCTGTGCTTTCCTTCCTTGCAGGTACCTGCTGGTAGCCTCTGGTCAAATGGTTCAGGTAGGGCTGATATGTGGTCACCTCTCAGAGGTGCATAGGAAGACATGGTCCTCTGTGTTTCCTTGGAGACAACTGCCAGACACATCTGAGGACATGCTTGTAGGCTCACAATTTGCATGGTGGAGGTCAGCGCTGTGGCCACTACTGCACAGGGTACACATACCTATGCTCCAGGATTTCATCCCAGCTTTGCATATATAGATTTTCTTCAAGAGATCTAATAGCCCATTGCATTTTAGAGAACTCAGATCTTGGTACACTGGACATCTGTCTCATAATTGTGATAAAGCCTAGTGGGTAGCATTTTGTGCCAGCTGATATAATACAAATGTGTTAGTATGCTGTGTGGTCTTTCCTTTACTACAGCAAATCCGGGTTTTAGTTTTGGTAGTCAGTAGAAAAACTGTTTCATCAAAGATCTAATTGAAATCAATCACATTCAGATGTATCTGTCTGGTGGGAAAGCAGTTCTCATACTGGCTTTACTTCCATTTATTCTCTTTTTCCCCATCATCCCTCCTGTTTTGATCCATCCAGCACCTATGAACACCAGACTTCTGTGACCTCTGGTCCAGTAGTCCAACTGGATATACTTTCAAAATAAATTGCATTCAAAAATGGGGCATCAAGGATTTTCTTAGAGTTCAGGTTTGTTGTCCAAATATCCTATGAGGGCACCCCCCACAACACCCACATTCACAGAACCCCCATGTATCACATCACTGTTACTGAGGGACCCTAGACACTCTAGTAACACAAATAATAAGAATATTCTTAACTTTGCTGATTATGACATAAATTGATTGCTTTATGGGCCATCAGGAACAAAAGGGACGGAGTTAAACATGGGCAATTAGATATCCACATGAACTTTCTTTGATAACAGAAGATGGAGGACAGTAGTGCAACATTCATTCACTGTGTGTTCCCAGCATCTTTTGCAGTCTTCCCTTCCCCTTTTGCACTTAGACTATACATATATATATGTGTGTGTATATATGTGTGTGTGTGTGTGTGTGTGTGTATGTATATACATATATACATATATATAAGCTGTTACCTAATAACGTGCCATTCTTCCAAAATGTTTCTGCTTCCCAGTCACTGCTGTAATTAACTACGTTGCAGTGGGGTACTAGTCTCTTCAGTCTGACCCGGAAAGAATAGCATTTCCTTGAATCAAAGCCTTGATCTCCAACACGGCAACATCTGGAAGTTCTGGACTGAGAAGGAAGGTGTATTGTTGTTAATTCTAATTTTCAAGGTAGTGCTTCAGAATGCTACACTCAGTCATGGCCACAAGACAAGGGATAGAGCAACCCAAAACCTCAGAACTGAATGCTGACTTCTCTGCATTTCAAGGAATTCTGTTTCTTGATTAACTTTTTACTATTCATATCTATTCCACTTGATATGATATTGAGTTGAAAGTCAGAACAACCATTACGTCGTGCACTGTGTTACATCTGCATTTTTACAAAATACAAAGAAACTTCGATCCACAAAATATTTACAAGTTATATTTGAAAATTGAACGATTTAAGTTGATGAAATAATATTTTGAAATACTTAGCAGTTAATTTGAAAATAAATAAAAATCCCATGTAATTTTGTTTTTTTCACACTATTTCATTAGTTTTTCTTATTTTTCTCTCTTTCGTCTACTCTGCTTTCTTCTTTTATCTTTCCATACTCTTTTATTCTTAATGTGAGACTTTTCCCTTAGATTGTCCTTAGCTCTTTGGGTAGCAACTGGATATAACTCATAAAGTAAATTATTTCTGGCATTGCAGGAATCCAGGATCCTAAAAATCTAGATGTTTTCTGCTACCAGCCTTATTTGAAAATATAGGACAGGAGAACAATTTGAAAACAACTCTATTTCACATTCTATGGAGATGCTATTCCAGCTCCTTCCAATGTTGATTAAAAACGGGGCATTCAACTCACTTGCCACTCTTTGTCAAACGTGCTTTTGTATTGAAGCTCAAGTCTCAAGCACTTCACAGCTCTCTCTGGTTTATTACAGCTCACAGTAACTGTGTCCTCTTTCCAGAAGAAGGTCACATTTTCTGGTGGATTGGGCTTTACTAAAAAGAATAGAAACAAATTTTGCTATAAACTCTGAAAAAGAAGCACCTCCCACTTAAAATTATTTTTGTTCCTTCCTTGTCTCAGTTTCCCTGAATAGTAATTGGAGAAGGTGGACTTTCTTCTTGTTGGATTTGCTTTTGTGGCTGATCTCCCTATTGACCATCAGAGTGGAGCCTGGCACCACAACGCTGCTCACCATTCGAGGTGCCACATTAAAGGTGGTTACTATCTCATGTCAGGAACCTACTGCAAGTGCTTAAGAAAGGACTCCGGTCTCCTCATACTCCCTGTAATTTAGAGAAAGAAAAAGGCTTCTTCATTGGAAACAAAGTGACAAATTCGGTATCATAAAGACTCCAAGACACACCTGTGCAGCTGCTGGAGGCTGTGTGGGATATGGTGGGGCATCTACAAAAAGCACTGGGGTCCCACCTGTGCACAACTGAATCTACCCATCAGTCTTCTCAGGTGGTCGGAAGACAATGCCATGGTTTGAACTACACAGGTGGTTAATCTTTAGTAGTGGGAAATGAAGGGGTGAGAAGATTGCTGCCTGCTTTCTCAGTCCTAGTTCCCTTTTTGTATTATGAAAATGCTGCCCTCCTAATTTAAATACTTTAGTCTGGTGCCTGATGTTTTTTCTTTGTTACCTAACCCTTTTGAAATTCATTTTATTATCAGTGGGTGTTTAATAGCCAAAATTTGAGGATCAGTCTGCAGTTTTCCAAAATTTAGCAGATATTGTCAGAATTATGACATACAAAAGTATTCTCAAAATTCAATACCTTGATAGATTTTTGTTTAATCTCTTTTGCTGAAACATTATAATCAATTTGGAATACACTTTTTTTTCCAGATAATTCTCCATTGTATATTTTCTGCGAGATTTGTATTAGGAAAAAATCCTTCCACTTTAAATGCTGTAAATATGTGAAATTCCAGAAGATTTTGATAAACTAATCTCACACTAGACATGAAATATGTATTTGGGGGAAGGAAAGATTTAACAGAAATAGGAATATCATCTCTCTGCTAGTAGTAGGATGTCCCTTTTACTCTGTACCAGAGCCACTCAGCTAATTTCTGTTGATATCTGATGAGGGTTTTGTGACAGTAGCTTTGATAAGAAGTAGTTTGCTGCCTCATATTGCATGGAAGATGACAAAATAACAGAAGGTTGAAAATATGAGAAAGATCATAATTCTAACAGTCAGTACTAAGACAAAAAACTATGAACTTTTATTAATTTTCCTGATGCGATTACCAAGCAGGCCTGCACTAGACAAAGTACACCTACTTTTTTTTTTTTGTATTTTTGTTCTGATTTTGAAATTGTATTTTGTGACAAATCTGACTGTCCTATGCTATCTCACTTAGCTTCAGCTGCAGGCTGTAACTACTGGTGACAGCAAGGGAAAAAAATCAGCATGAAATAAGTATAATTTAGTTTTGACACACACACAAATAACATTTTATCTGCTAATATAACTGATTTATTCTCAAACTCAGACAATGGAGAATCAGTGAGGGTACTGGGACTATCAAAGTAGTTGTGACTTTGCATACTTACTATAAAAATCAGATTTTAATTTTTTAGAAAAAAACTCTCCACTTCCGTTGCTGTTCCTAATAGAGATGGCAAGGGTGGGTCCTTCTGTCTTAAAAAGACACCCAAAATTATAATCTTGATCCAATAAATACGTGGGACATGGCTTCCAAACTTTGTGCTTGCCTTCATCAAATCTATAAATGAAATAGTATTAGTAAATGGAAAACTTACCAATTAGCACATGTCAATTCAATTAATTTTTGTTACTGTTAGTAATTTTTCTTCCTTCTTTTTTTTTTTCCCCTAAACATTCCTACCAAGGGAAGTCTGAGCATGGAATTTCTTGAAATGACAGATTTCACAGCGGTGTGAGGGAATTCATCGCTCAAAACTTATTGAAATTCTAGCCCTAGGCTTTGATGCAGTCTGACATAATCAAGTTTCCTTCATGCTGTTGTTTTCTAATAAGAGAATTACTTGCTCAAACAGATACTTTTGTGATTCCGTTTCCAAAAATGTACTGCAAAAAGTTCTTTCACATGTACTACCCAATAAGAAAAGATCAAGCATTATGACTGACTTTAACCAAAATATTAAATTTCTGTTAGTCATTAATTATGTCAGTTAATAAAGAAAATATACACACATATGTGGAAAACCCACTTTCAATACTGTAATAAGCATTAGCATTCAGCACAATGGCAGAAGAGAGACAAATCTTTCACATGATATCTGTGGTGACAGGCTACTCACCAGGCTTGTTAATTTGTACACTTCTGTAACAGTTTGAGAATATAAACAGGTTTCATGCTGGATATTAACAAATGTTAAAACTCTTTTCAGTTCACAGAAGACTGAAATAGACTTAGATATTTCAGCCTTCCAAAGCAAACCCTTAACAAGAGAAGGATAGGCATTGACAATACTCACGTGTAAGAAAATGACACATTCTCATTGCGAAAAAGCTCTCTTGCTGCCCATGTGATCTGCATCTTCTCATTATTGAAATTGATTATTTTGGTCTTGATGGCATCTTCCAAACCTACCCAGGACAATGACAGAGAATATGGTTTCAGGAGTAAGTATGGAAAGCATTCCTTGATATTTATAGGCAACCAGTATTTCAAAGATATGTATGCAGTAGTCCCAGGTGATCATAAAATAAGAAGACATAAGAACTTCTAAAATACAAGGAAACAGTAAGATAACCTAGAGAGATTAAAATTAGAATTTCAAAATAGCAAAATGAAAGTCTGCACAGCAACACTAGGGAAAGATTTGGCCCCATGGTCCCTTGGCCCAAAGATGTATACTGGGCCACGTGTATGCAATGCCTACACAGGGCCTATACAGGGCATATATGCAGGGCCTATGCCTTAAGGCCAGCTTATCCCCATAATACCTACTAACGAAAACTATTTGGGAACTAATGCTATATGGAACCTCTGTGTAAACTGCCAAATGTTTACTGTAAGAAATAAGGAACTGACACCATTGGTCCAAACCAGTCAAGAGCCATAGGAATCCGGAGCAGGTCAGCACAAGTAGGGGTATTACATATTTGATCTATGTGGTTCTGGCCAATTCCACCGTAAATACAAGTGTGATCATTTAATGTTTTTTGACTGTACACAGATATTATTTCCTCTTGTGATCATTTCCTTGTTACAGTTCTTGCTAGGGAAACAGGTATTTTAATTCCATGTCCACCAGGATTTCACCGAAGATAGAACCTGGCATTGAAGAAATGGAGAAACTAAGAAGGCAGAAGGATTAGAAATCCATTCTATACTAAGGAGGAGGACAGATTATTTATTTTGTATTCTAGAAGATGTGAAATTGTATTTAATTTAATGAAAAAGATAGAGAAAGTTTATCTTGAATACCAGCAAGAAACCACTTGAAGGAAAAAACTGCAGACTGCTATCTCTAACCATGAAGTGTCTACCACTAAAAACCTTTGCTGGAATATTCCTGCCTAGAAGGAAAATATAGGATTTTAGTTTTGATTGCTGTTTACATTTTATGCCACTCTGGACTTTTGAAGAGGCTTGTGGTGGAAAAATTTAAAATCATTTCTTATGAGCTTTTCATCACATTCAGTTGTTCTGATTGTTTCATGGGAATCACACATAACTATTCTCAGGGTTGCTATCTTTTGCTCCATAATCGATATTAAGAATGTGAGAAAGGCATGTTAGTTCAAGTAAGCATTTTGCCTATTTTTATGCCTATATCTCTATGTCTAGATATTTTATGACTACTCTAGTTAAAGTTAGTCAGAACACTTTTGTATAGATGTATTTGTATTGTAATACATTGTTTTGTCAAAATTATTCAAGATGGTTATGACAGAAATCCAGGAGATACTGGGTAGATGTAGCTGCAGGTTTTTACCAGAGCTCCAGGAATCACATAGCAGAAAAGATTCTGCTCTTATTCAAAAGAAAGACTTGAAACTAACTCCTCCAGCTCCTAACTAACGCCTGCAGGCTTGTTCTGTATTGTTTTCTCAAACAGAAAATCTTGTGTGTCAGTACTACTACAAGCAGAGACAAAAATAGAAGTTAAGACCCTCAAAAGGTATAGTAAAATGGAGTTTATCCAGCCATTTCTACCTCTGTTACAACAGACTACCTACGTATCTCTTGTTTCCTAAGTTCTCAAGCTCTTTGTAAGTCCATCTACAGGTCTAAGAGATGATTTTTTCTTTAACTAAAGCCACCAAGAAATATGATGGCAGAGTCTCTAACAGTGGATTCTTGGTCTGCAATTACACTAATACTTCTTAACTTTTATAAACTGCATAGTTGTGCTCCGCAATATGTATAGTGTAACTGAAACCCATATGACTTCTTGGACATATTTTCTATAAAGGTGGATAAACATATATTTAATATATATTTGAATATATAATTACATTTTTTCCATCTCTAAGTAAAACTGACATTTTAAAACCAAATATAAATACAAATAATATAAATATAAATATAAAATAAAATATAAATACAAATAATATAAATATAAATATAAATAATATAAATGTTAGTGAATGGAGAATACTGTACTGTCCTGAGATAATTTTTATGAATTTAGACCAAATCCTTTCAATTCCCTCTAGAAGCAACAAAATATGTACTTCCTACTTTTTAATAATGTCTGATTGCAGATATTTTCGCTTTGAGAAAGAATTGCTAATGATCATTCTTCAATGATGAAAATAAACCCAGGAAGAGTACTTGCTTTCTTAATTACATATTTTCAAGGATAATTAAATTCAAAATTAATTCCAATGCTGTTTCTATGTGTAATATAGTTTGGCACAATGACAGAAAGAAAAATTCTGTTTGTAGGGCAAGGTTTTGAAGAATTTTTCAAATCAAAAACAAGCAACCTTCTTCAGTTTATTCTCAGAAGGTGACTTAACATCTCTGCAAAGAACTGTGTACACTCATCTTCCTGCACTTTGTGAAAATAATTGAAATAACCTATGTACTGAACTGAGGGGAAGGCTGTCTCACCTACAGGATGGCAAAAAGAGTAGGAGTCTGAGAGTCCCATCTTGGGTGCAGTCAACTAATCTAAGATGTACCAGATGAACAGTGTCAGCTCCAAACCCTCACTTAGATTTGGGCAGCTCCACTGAAAAACATTGCAGTGAATTTTTCATTATTTGGAGAGTGAGCTCAACAACCAGAGTTTATCCTATTGCTCTCCAGTTGTGAGGTTGCAGCTGTTGGCCCAGGATGTGAAAAATCATCTTGCATTGACTTCTAGTGGTCAGCAAATAGTGAAGGCTGGGTTTATATATAAGACTGGTCTCATGTTGCTCAGTGGTGTCAAGCTGCTAGTATCTGCTGTAGAGCTGCTAGCATCTGTAGACTGAAGGCAATTGTAAAGCAAAGAGACTACTTCACTGGTGAAAAGCAGGTGTTTGAAGACATCTAATATCAGTAAAGGTTCCGGGGGATCTTGTACAATTTGCTAAGAAAAGCAGTTGTAACCATGGAATCATGGAATCATAGAATCTTCACTTAGCCTGGATTGAAGGGGACCTTAAAGATCATTTAGCTTCAACCCCCCTGCCATGGACAGGGACACCTTCCACTAGACCAGGTTGCTGAGAGCTTCATCCAGCTCGGCCTAAAACACTTGTAGGGATGGCACATCCACAGCCTTTCTGGGTAACCTGTTCCAGTGCCTCACAGTAAAGAATTTTTTCCTAATATCTAATCTTAACCTACTCTCTGTTATTTAAAGCCATTCCCCCTTGTCCTGTCACTACATGCCCTTGTAAAAAGCCTCTTTCTATCATAATCACTCTGAGGTATTCAGTCAATTTGGTCACAAGGGCTTTACAGGTGTAGAAAAAAGGAAGGAAGAGGGAAAAAGGAGTTTATAGCCTAAATACAAAATACCATTAACAGAAGAGAAGAAAGGAGAGGAAAAGATTGTTTTAGGTATCTCAAAGAGGGAAAAACTGCAATGCTGAGTTTTATCCCTCCAAGTTCAAAGTGCTAAAATAATATTATACTGCTACTTTTTTTTCTGAATTTCTATCTTACTGGGAAGTATAACTTTTTTTTTTTTTTTGTAAGTATGCTTATAGGGAAATTGTTGGAATTAAGAGAGATAGCAATGGTTCATTAACTGTGAGAGAGAACACACCGAAATTTTTTATGTAAATTTTTTTTCACACACCTGACAATAACTATGGTGACAATATTTAGACTGAATTTGCTTCTCAAATAGGTGATGTGTGATTGGGAATCTTCTTGAACCTGCAACTATCCCACAACCGGCCAGCAGAGAAGTAAAAGTAGAGATTTTGGTTGTAAGCCACCTTTCCATCTCTGCACAGGCCAACTCTTGAAATCCTTTTGCAGGGCACCCCATTTTCCCTCAATACAATGCAAAAAGGACACCAACACTAAAACCTTGATATCCATAAAGTTATTTTAATGGGGTGTTCAGTCTCTTCAAACTCCATGTGGGTTAGTTGAGATAGGATTGTCTCTAGAGAAGGATGATAACAAAGAAACCAGAGGAACCACATGGAATTTCCTCACATTACAGTAAAAAAGTAAAAACTGAGGGTCTGATCTGACCAGCCAGTTCAACAAAAGACATCATTTAATTCTGAACTTTAAATAACACTCATTATTCTCTATTTTTTTCATCTGTACTATAAATGTACACTACTTATTAGAGACTGCAATTCAAAGATGAAGACTAAATCTTGGGTTTGGCAATGAACATATTTCAGATGACAAAGAATATTGGTTTGGGTCCAGTCCTGCAGAGACTTATTCATGGACTTAACTTTATAACCTCTGAGTAGTCCACTTGACTTCAGCAGGATTAGTCAGTGTGCATCAGCTTAAAAACATATATAAATCTTTCTAGGATCAGAATATTTTTTTGCCAAAAATACCTACATGTTATAAATTAAAATGTTGTGATTTTAACATATAAATATAAACTCCCAAACCTGCACTTATTTATGCACTAAAATAGAAGGTAATGCAATATTAAATTTTTTAATAATAAATAGAAACAGTTAATTGAAATAAAGAGAAATTGTAATAAACTATCTGGTGATATATACATATTCTTTATATATATTCTCTATACACATTCTTTCCTGTGCTCTAGTTTTTAAGGGCTTCATCAGAAATCAGTCTCAAAGTAATTAACTAGGTATGTAGGACAGAATCTTAACGATTTTTTATTGTTAAAGACTTTGTTTATAGAGCTCTAGTCACAATTTTCTACCATGCATCCTAATTTCATGGGGTTTATAGCCTTTTTGAATGCAGTATGGCTTGTGTTCCGTGTAAATTTACAGTAAATATTTACATGCATTGTTTTTTGCATTGTTTCAAATTATAATGTGTAAATGTTGCATAATTCACATTTCAGCAAGAAAAGGTACATAGTCTAAGTGAGGTTTTTAAAGTTTGGATTAGATGGACATCAAATCCTCTGAGGATATGTATGGATTTTCCTTCTGGTGATGTTTCCTTTTCAGTAGCTATACACCTATACTTCTGCAGGCAAAATCATTCCTATCTTCTGTTAAAGGAAACAGAACAGAGGGGACCGATTCTCTACCTTTATTTGTTATGGAAATTTTATGAATTCAACTGCAACATCATGGATCATTCTCAGCAAATGTGCTAGATCTTCCACAGTAGTTGCAATTTTTTAAGGCCTTCTTCTAATTATGATCCTAGAGGCATAAAATACAACAAAGCAACACATTTATAATTATTTTTTCTATTATGATAATGGATAGGTGAAAAGGTCAAAAATATTATAAATAAGGAATCACTGGGCTAAAAAGTGGTGGCAGCAACTTTCTGTCTGAGCATGACCTGCTTGTCTAGTTGGTATGCAATATGTTGCAGTGCTGTAGGACACATACTGGTGCCCTGGAGCAAAAGCTTCAGAGAATTATCCAAGTCTACCTCTTCCATAAAACCAGACAGGGATTGGTAAGGTTATGCCCAAGACTTTAACCTCACTTGCACTGCTGGGCACCTAATTCGTCTCAGGACAGAGAAGCATGGAAAATACCATGGTGGTGTGTGGAGAAAGCACTTCTACAGGGGAAAAAATTTCCTTGAGCATCAAATTATGCAGATGCAGCCATAAGCAAGGGTATAAGCAAGTACATTCCACCTCCAAGTCACTTTTCAAAGTTTATTACTGAGAAAAAATACTATTGAGGGGAAACATGTAAAAAGGCTTAATGTCATGGAATAAATAAAAAAAAAGAAAAAGGAAAGGTAGAATGTCAATCTGCAAAGATAACAGAATGGAACACGCATGTATTGGAACATTTGCAACCTCATTGATACATAACAAAGAAGAAAAACCACTTTTGATTTCCTTACACTGATGAAACCTGATAAGTAATCACATGCTGAACTTCCGCATATTACAGCACACTGTACAGAAACTACTGGAGAATAAGACCCAGATCTGAACCTATAGTCTTTATTTACTCTCAATACTACTGATCTATGAAGAATAGTTTCATTTTTTTAACTGGAAAAAATTTAGGCAGAAGTGCAACTCATCGTGAACATGGCTGCTGAATTGAATGCACAGGACAGAGGCTGAATAGAAAATCTCTTTCCAAGAACGTAACAAGACAGAAAGGGAGAATTCTTTTTATACATTTTGAGGCATAATCTTAGAGTCCATCAAACTGAGTGGTTTGTTTTTTTTTTTTCCAGAAGATCGCTTACCTTTGCTAAGAATTATGACACTTTACATCATATAAGCATCACAACTGAAATTTTCAAATTGTGTTCTACAAAGCCCTGCCATCAGTACAGCATGGCTGTAGGTGATTACCATCTCAGGGCAGGGAAGTCACATGCCCTCACAGGACAGCCAGTGACTCACAGGAGAAATTAACCCTGAAAAATCAGGTGGTGCAGTATTGTTGAAAATGGTACTTACTATTGGGGGAACAGAGAGCTGAGTTATAGGTTGATGAGTTTATAACTTTAAAGCACTTATTTTTCCTTATAAAATGAGTGACAGAGAATTTGCAATGAATTAAAAAGAGTGAAGATTACATTACTGATGTATGTGTTGGGCTGTATGTTAGATTCGTGCAATGATCCATTTGCCTTTGGTAAGCTATAATTAGTGGCATTGCAGACAAATACATGAAGTAGAGATCTTATTTATTGTCTTTATCAATTTTGCTGTCTAATAATACTTTTATCTTGATACGTTCTCAGGAATAAGATATTGTTAGTATTTTCCCATAGTGTTCATTCTTTAAGGGTACTAAGCATGGAAGTCTTATCTGGAGTGTGTTTTATCCAATGTTTGTTGAACGTGAAGGCTATCCTTTCTCGAATGAAATCTGCACTGTTATAATATATGTCTTAGAAAGTAAATAGTCATGCTTAAAGAACAAACACAAGTTTAGCAAGATCTGCCATCATTTTTAATTAGAAAACCTCCATAGAAATCTGTTATTATATTTATTTTTTTCTTAAGAATCCACTTTCATTTCTGCTGGATATGAATTTTTTTTTGTTCATTGTTTTCATCAAAAAAGTACTGAATATTGTAACACATGAGGTAAAGTACACACAGAAATATTGCTGGCTAATATATCAATTTCTTAAATAAATATCTTGGGATTTAAACTTACCAGAAGACTGTGCTTGAGAAGCCACAAGGTTGCCCAGTGTGATGATCATTGAACACGCTTGAAAGATGAGTCTCATGGTTGGAGTGACACAACAGACTATGAACACATGAGTAATCGTAATTTCTGGATTTACTATTTGATCACTTTATACCAGAGGCTGGAAGAAACTGGAGGAAATGACTGCAGGAAATAAAAAGTTCAGAGATATCTAGCTACAAATAGATCAGAAGTGCAGGACCTTCTTTATACTATGTAACAAAACAAAACAAAAAAACCCTATAAAAAAGTAATTCCTCAGAATATGAGTATTACTCTTGATATCTTTACCTTCTCAAAGCTGTATCAGTCAGAAATGACTGATCCAAACAAGGACCAGGTTGCTGTGCATAGTTATGACTGCACAGAATAACAGAATCAATCACAGAGTCACGGAATGGGTCTAGAGCATTGAAAGGGACCACAGTGGAGCATCTGGTCCAGCCTCCCTGCTCAAGCAGGGCCATCCTAGAGCACATGGCACAGAATTCCTTCCAGAGGGTTCTTGACTATCTCCAGTGAGGGCGGCTCCACAACCTCTCTGGGCAATCTGTTCCAGTGCTCAGTCACCTGCACAGTAAAGATATTTTTCCCCTGGACTACATTTTTCTTCCAGTGTCTCAAGTAGGGAGGGAGAGTAGAAGCTTTGTCAACAACACATGGTACTAGGTAGGAAGCTGGATCATGGCTGGGAATACACCCAGAATTGCTGTCAGGATTTCTTTCTAGGCTTGTTTTCATTCCTCTCAGAGCTTTTCCTAAAATGTTTACCATCCTTTTTAACTCAACAGTACTGTTTGTCAGATGAAATCCTTTTCAGCTTTTCGCATATTCAAAGTCCCCAGCTAGGTAACGTGATATCAGTTTTGTATCTTGCTATTTATTTTTCTTTGGTTGGCTACTTTCACTATCTTATCCATTGCTTGTCCCAGGAAGACCCACTCAAATCTCAGTCATTCTTGGAAACCCCAGCGCGACTGTCTGACATACATACAGCATTCTGTTAACTGTCTAGCCCATGCTTTGATCAAGTTCCTCCAGGGAGGCATTAATTCCTGGAACTAGAATAACAAGCAACACAAGAGTGAAATTCTAAACTAGGTCATAGGTGATAGATAATGGAAAGCTGAAATTGCTCACAGTTTCCACAGTCAGCATCACAAAAGCCAGTGAGATACACAAACAAAGGCAAACATCCCAAATCCTTTGGTTCCCCAGGACATGGCAACTCCCATATGTCCCTGTTTAGGTTAAAATCACATTTTCCTTCCAAAAAATGTGTCTCGTCTTTCCTTACAGAACACATGAGTGTGATGGAGCTGAGTTTGTCCCTGTCTGCTTTTCATACAGATGAAACACCCTGGACTACAGACTTCCTAAGGCAGACCATTCTTTGGAGGAAACAGGTATGGAAAAATAATATAAAAAAGAAAAGATATCTAAAATACCCTCTGGACTGTAATTATTCTGATTTTGAGACACTTCCTCTAAAGTGAGGTCTAATTCTCAAGTGACAACAGTGCATTTTCACTCACCATTTCCTTCTACCAAGTGTTTTGGAACCAGAAGTAATCATTCCTCCCACCAGTCTCAACTTCTTTTTCATATACTGAGGGCCTCTTGAAGTCAAACAAAATTTCTCTTTTTATGACTTTTGAACCCAAACCTAAGGCTGAGGTCTTGGGGAATAAAAAAAAAAGCAACAGCTGGGTAAAAAAAAAAACTACTTGCATAAAGCTGATGCACTGTCAAACTATTTTTGCTACTGCTGAGAGAAACATTAGATTTGGCACTTGAGGGACAGAGGGCCTAGGCACTTCCCACCTCCCCCCCATGCAGGCAGACACTGGCCCAGCCACCTGCCTCAGGTTCTGCTTACTAAAAGCCATCTCTGATTACCTGGTTTGATTTTTTTCATGAGCCCAGTCCATGAACTGGAAAGCTGCCTGTGAGCCACGGGATCTGTTCTTCGCCAGGAGTTTTTCTGCCTGCCTGCCTACAGGAGTGTGGTTGATTAACATGCCCATATCCTGTTGGTCATTGCTCCCAAGAGGACAAGGACAGAGCATTGTCACAATGTAATCCCTCTTCAGGTACAGTGCAATGTTGGCATGTTTGGTCTGAGCAAAGAAGATCCATCCTAATAGTACAACTTCATGCAGGAACAGGGAAAGCAAAGGGTGAGGGTGAGCTGAAAATCAGCAGCCACGGCTTCTGATGATGACTGCCAGTAGAGAAAATTCTTAGCAAGGCACACAGATGATGAGGACAATGCAAGTAATGCAAGTGAATTAAAAGAAGCCCTTTTGACTTCATTTTGCATCAAAACCACACAAACATCCCTTGACCCTCTGCCAGCTCCTCCACCCATAGCAGCAGCTCTTGGGTGGCTGCACTTGCCAGCTGCAACCTCCAGCACCCTCACTGACTTTCCTCAGCTTCCTTCCTCTCTTTTTATTCCCCTTTCTATTATTTCATTGGTGTGTTAAATGGGTCTTTGATCACTGCAGAGTTCAGCAAAGCAAATTGTCTCAGTTTACTTTTTTCTTCACTTAGAACCAAAACAACTAATAGCCTGCGAGTAACTTTCATTTAGTGTTGCTTACTTACTCATGGCCTTGGTAGCAGACTCCATATAAAGCCCTGCAAAATAACAGGGTTTACCTCTTTTTTTGCAGCAACAATCCCTTGTAATTTTTAGCATTAACAAGGAACAATTTCAGTGTGCTTTGAATGAGTGGGATAAAGGTAAGAGTGACACATTTATCTAAAATAATGAGTCTCATCACCCCCTGACAAATCAGATGAGTTAACTTGACACAGTGCAGCCCATTGTTGTGACAGAACAACCTGATTCTGTGTTTTAACTAGCTACAAAGTGCATGTGTAAAGATCTCTACTGTACTCTCTGGACCCTTCTTCTACACATGGGAAAAGCTATGAGGAGTATTTCTCAAGCACCTCTGGCATTCTTAAATTCACATTCTTGTTCAATCACTTTAAAAAGTGTCACTTGCTGGTCTTTCCTTTTATCATCATGGCTTGGCCTTTTCTAGCATTTTTTATGAATAACAGGAAAACAATGAAGGGAAAAAAACAAGCAAAGATGGCAGGTGGCCTGCATGGATGGGCAAGGAGCTCTTATTAGAAATCAGATATGGCATCTCATTGACCTTGCAGGGACAGGGTTAGGAAAGTCAAGGCCAACATGGAGTTGAGCCTCTTAAGGGATGTGAAAGGCAATAAGAAAGGATTCACAAGTACCTAAAACAGTAAAAGTAAGGAAGACATGGATCTGTTGCTGAATGAGGCAGGGAGCTTGATGACACAAATGCTACAGAAAATGCTGAAGTACCCAGTGCCTTCTATGCTTCAATCTTTACTAACAAGACCAACCTAGGCTTTGACACCAGCGGAAAAGTCTGGAGTCAAGAACACTCAACCTTAAGAGACAAAGAGCAGGTTAGTGAGCATTTTATCAAACTCCATGTCCCTTAAGATTACATAAAATTAGGAACCTCAAGATTTAATGATATAAAATAATAATAAATAAAATACATAAATACATTATTACAGTCCGGTAATGTTGGAAAGCTTAGAGGGTAAAAATAACTTCTATGACTTTCAGTTACTCTCCTTGGAAGAAGCCTGCTGCTTCCATCTCCCATATTTTGACCTATTTTTGAAATTTCCAATCCTCTGGCACTGTCCTTTGCAAAATACCCAACACAGCCTTGTTCTTTCCTGGTAAAAGGCAGGACTTCTGTCATCCAGGAGCAATCTTGCATTGTAGGCAAGGGGCTTTATTCCCGTATCCTAAAATGGTAAAGAAGCTGAGAGGAATGCAACCTGAGAGGACCGTGAACATATGTATGGGAAAAAGGTGTGCCTTATTAAAGAATAAGCAATAATAGGAAATTATGATGCATTACATGGGAGAAGACAAAATGTAAATATTCATTTAGGAATTAATTTCTAGAAGAAAATATGTTTTACTAAGGTGAGTACATCCTTCTATCTATGTATCTTCCCATCTATTTAAAAAAAAAAATAAAGCAAGGGAGACAATAAGAATCCTCAAACTAGTTACTGGTGTTTCCATTGCTAAAAAGAAAGAACAAGTAATGCAGCCAATACAAATCTAGTAATCTTTCCTTCTCCCACCATAAACCTACTTCATCCCATGTATTTCACTTCTCCCCAAGCCTTCACCTACTGAGTGCAGGGGGTACAAGACCACATCAGGAATAAGTCAGGTTATTATTTAATCTTTCAGTGCTTGAACTACTTTCGAATATGTTCAACAAAACATGCAAGGCAAAGTGGTAAAACACCTCTTAGAAATCACAACATGAATAGAGAAGATTTGGTGGTTAAATAACCATTTCAAGACTGGATCATAAGTTACTCAACAGCTGGGGCTGCTTTGCCAAAATTCTGACCTGCCTTTCAAGTCATGAGAGAAATAGCATTGTTTCTAAAGCTAAACTTTCATGTCCCCCACATAAGGAAACTGTGCACTGACCAATTTATTGCAGAGGTTCATGGCTATCACTGTTGTCATTTCAGCTTCTGGAGCCCATAATGGCATTTAGTTCTCATTTAGCAAGCTCATGTGAAACTTAACTTCAGTGGAAGTTAAGATGTTAGAAAGTGTAAGGGAGATTGATTTGCTTCTGTGTTTGCTGAGAATAGATACTTGTCCCCAAGGGTGACGTGAGGGGTGAGCCTGCAAAGGAAACAGGTGACAACCAACAAGGTTTTGGCTGCACCATGTGGATTATCTCTAGGGCACAAAGAAGACAGGGTACCAAGCAGACACTGATTTAATGTTGGTGTTCTTGTAAGGTGTTGAAGGCTCCTGCACATACTGGTGAGTCTCAAACAGTCAGGAAACTCTGTGAAGTGCACCCCGGGATTTCCAGCCAGCTTCTCTCCCCCTCCTCCCCTGACTGCTGCAGACAGTGACAGGGAGGAGATAAGGATTCAGTTTAAGAGCTCTTCCGGAGAAGCATCTGCACATGCAGTTATATAGGAGATACTGAAAGTAAGATAAGAATATTAAGAATGATGTTTTTCCATACTACTTTTAGCTTTGTATGAATCCAGTTGCTTTCATGCATTATGACTAAATGCGGTTGATGGATTTTTCTGCTGCTGGGTGCCAGATTTGATATTGAGGCAAATTAGATTATTGAAATATATCTGTTTTCTTGTTTACAGTTGTTTGGGCTTTCCACTGGAAAAGGCCAAGTGACAGACTGTTCCTGCAGCCTCTTGTGTGGCTTCAATGGTGCAAGCTACAGCAATAGCAAATGAATGTTCATAACCTTCCAGCTAGCAGTTCATTTCAAGAGATTAGGATCCAGTTCCAATATGCACTGACTTACCTTGAAAAAACCAAACCCACCACATTTTACTCACTAATGATATTAAATGCTGTTGTTTTTTCAGCAGCTTGCCAAGAAGAGGGTGTGTTGGAACAGGCTAAGTGCTTTCCACACTTAGTATCTGTGCTCAACCTAATACCAAATGTTTGTGGCATGTAGAAAAAAACATATCTAGAAAAAGAAAAAGAACATATCAGTGTAAAACAATGCTAGATTCAATAGTCAGTAATCTCAGATGTACTGAGATGGCTGCAGATTCTTTTCTTTGGAAAGGATTTTAATCCTTGTCTCAGGTATTTGTTTTGAAAGATGCAAGTACCGCACTGATTTAATTTGCCAGGCAGATTATTGAATTTACTTCTACTTTTTTTTTTGGGTAAGATTAACTCTTCACAAGAATAAACTGTCCAAAAATTAAAACATTCGAGCAGTTCCATTCTTCTGAAACTACTGAGCAAGGGATTCCAGGAACATAGGATTTTATTATTCTAACTGGAACTGAGCTCTGTTGGTATTTTCTTATTGAGAATTTTTATTTGCTTTCTCATAACATTGCATTTCTATTCCCACATGGACTTTGACTGAGAATCATCACTTTTCACCTCTAACATGCCTAAATTCAATCACAGAAAGATCTGCAAAGCTGTTACTTGGAATTGAGCCCTGTGAACCTGTGATGCACTGAACAGTTCATTCTAATTTTCATAGCAGATTAATTCTCTCATGAACCAACTGAACTTTCTGTTCCTGAAAACTCCCACATTCCACCATTGTTGTTGGCACTGTCCTGAAAATGTTACAGATTGCAATCACTATTCGAATATGTTTTAGTGCTCAAGTTTATATTTTGCACAAAATCTGATAACATGAAAGATATTTTGAACAGCATTCCCTTGATCTTGAAATCAGATATGGGTTAATTTAAATTAAGATTAAAATCAACAAGTATTTTAGGCCAGTTACAGGGTAGTGCAGGAATCAGAATATGAGAGCAGTGGACCGTGAAGGAGAATCTCCTTATGCTGATGTCACTATCAGGAAAAAGGTATACCCGGTCACAGTGGTGGATTTGGACCCCTTATTGAGTCAAAGGAAATACAAACAGATACTTCTGTGCAAATAGCACAATGCACTGCATAAGTAGCTACAGATGGCAACTGTCCTTACTTTTCCAGGGTATTTAACACTAATGGGTTTTGAGTATAAACTTTGGGAAGGACTTTCGAATCATACTAAAACTTTGGAGGACCCTGAGAAGA